GCCTGGAGACTCCGCAGTCTCCTCCCTGATGGCAGCAGACTGAAGAAGCTGTGTGTCGGGTGGGTGGGATCACCTGCAATGCAGAGGGCTTTGCGGGTGAGACGGGTGTTGTAAATATCCTGGAGGGAGGGGAGAGAGGCACCAACAATCTTCTCAGCTGCTCTCACTATGCGTTGAAGTGTCTTGCGGCAGGACGCGTTGCAGGCACCATACCACACAGTGATGCAGCTCGTCAGAATGCTCTCGATGGTGCCTCTGTAGAAGGTGCACATGATGGGGGCCGGGGCTCTGGCTCTTCTTAGTTTGTGGAGGAAGTAGAGACGCTGCTGTGCTTTCTTGGCCAGTGCTGTGGTGTTGTCAGTCCAGGAGAGATCCTCTGTGATGTGTACCCCCAGGAACTTGGTACTGCTCACCCTCTCCACAGTCACACCATTGACGGTCAGAGGAGCATGCTGAGTGCGCACTCTCCTGAAGTCAACAACAATTTTCTTCGTCTTCTCCACATTCAGAGAGAGATTGTTGTCACTGCACCACCCGGCCAGGCGGCTCACCTCGCTCCTGTAGTTTGTCTCATCTCTGTTGCTAATGAGACCCACTACAGTCGTGCCAATTGTGACGATTCACTGACATATTATAATGATTTGGTGATATATTGTGACGATTCATTGATATATTGTGACAATTCAGTGATATATTGTGATGGTTTGGTGATATATTGTGACGATTCATTGATATATTGTGACAATTCAGTGATATATTGTGGTGACTTGGTGATATATTTTGACGATTTGGTTATACTGTATATTGTGATGATTCTGTGATCTACTATGATGATTTTAGTGATGTATTGTGATGGTTTGGCAATGATTCAGTGATATGATGATTTGGTAAAATATGATGATTCGGTGATGTATTATAATGATTCTGTGTTATGATAATTTGGTGATAAATTATGATGATCCAGTCGTGGCCTAATGGTTAGAGAGTCGGACTTGTAACTCAAAGGTTCAAGTCTCAGGTCCGGCAGGGATTGTAGATGGGTGGAGTGAATAACCAGTGCTCTCTTCCACCCTCAATACCACGACTGAAGTGAGACCCTTGAGCAAGAACCTGACCCCCAACTGCTCCCCGGGCGCTGCAGCAATATGGCTGCCCAGTGCTCCGGGTGTGTGTTCACGGTGTGAACCGTTCACTACTGTGTGTGCGCACTTGGATGGGTTAAATGCAGAGCACAAATTCTGAGTACGGGTCACTGTACTTGGCCACACGTCACTTCACTTTCACTTATATAATTTAAAGGGGTCTTGAACTGAGAAATCAAAATACCCATATATATATATATATATATATATAAAAGAGGTAATTGTACTATAAAAACATCCTGTAAGTTTCAAAACTCAAAACTTTCTCATTAGTCTAAACCAGCTTATATTGAAGCCAAATTTGTCGAAACGACAGGTTGTGTAATGTGTAGCTCTGTGATGTAATAGTGTGGATAAACCTCCACAGAAGATCATCAATGCCTGCTTCTAAATCACTACCCGTTTGGCCCCGCTCACCGATTCTACAGCACTGCCTGTTTAGCTCCGCCCACAGATTTCTACAGCACTGCCTGTTTAGCCTCACCCACCGATTCACGCATGTAGTGTAAATAATGAGAGGCAAACGCAGGTTTACACAGAAGCCGAATGATAAAGATGCTCCGAAGACAAAAAGACGCTGTTCAGTGCCGAGCTGTGGAAAAGGTTTTTGCATCGCCTTCCTTCTGATCCCAACATTAGGAAAGACTGGATGAACTTTATTTTTACTTATGTTCCATACCACATCAGTAAGAACTTGGTCCTTTGTTCAATTCATTTTACTGCAGATTCATTTACAGACAAGGCACAATTTGACGCAGGATTTTCAGAAAGATTGAAACTAAAAGTGTTATGTTATGATAATTCAGTGATATATTGTGATGCTTCTGTGCTATGATGATTTTAGTGATATTGTGATGGTTTGGTGATATAGTATGATGATTCAGTGATATATTATAATGATTCGGTGTTATATTATGATAATTATGTGATCTATTATGGTAATTTGGTGATATATTGCTGTGTGTGTGTGCGTGCAGCACTGCAGATTACTGGTGGTGGATCCCTGTTGCCGGGCCGTTGGTAGGGGGCGTCGCCGGTGCTGTGATCTACTTCCTGTTGATTGAGCTTCATCACTCCAACCACAACGACAAATCTCACAAAGAACCTGAGGAAGAGGAGGATGAGGAGGAAGATGAGGACAGCAGCCTAAAGGACAAATACGAGATGATCAACATGAGCTAGAAACCCAAGACCAGTAGAATTCCTGTTGTGACCAAGTAAAGCCGGTAAACTCATTTTCATACACCGTTTACAGGAGTAAACTCATCAGTGACATCAGCGACCTTCATCCACCTCATTTAGACACTTCACAACTCAAATAATTAACGTATTTCAACTGATTGATTCATGTAAGTGCTTTAACTAAATACACACTTCACGTCTGTCCCATAATCTTCCACTGCACATAACATCTGACTGTATTTTGCTGATGGGTTAATATTATACTGGATCCAGAACAATCGATTCAATGGCTGTTTATACCTTTAAAGTAATGGAAACGCATCAGGAATCCTGTCCAGATTAAAGCACACTGCCTGACGACATTGATCATGAAGCCACCTGACAAACATGCTTGACTGAGCACAACGTCACATCACACACGTGAATCTAATGGTTCATGGCAGAGATTAGCGTTTGTCACGAAGAGCTGCAAAAGATTTTCCCCTAGATCACCATTGTTGAGTTTTCATGTTAAATTAAAGTTTTATTTCACCTTGTTATCATTCATATATTGTCTATGATATTTATGTTTCTATTTTTGTTCATGTGTTTGTAGATCAGGCTTCTGTTATTGACTTTTTGTTTTTAAATTTCTTTTGTAAAAAGTAGATCTTTTGTAATGAAATACTTCAACTTCAACTGTATATTTGTGTTTTTTGCTGAAATAAACTGAACTTTTGCTGAACTTTTACGGCAGAGTTGTCTTGCTTATAAACACGCATCAGATGTTTGCATGGGGAGATTCTGTTCATGTCTGGACAAATTTGCTGCTGTCTACTGAGGGTGAATGACAGATGAAGACATCCATCAACTCTGAATGAACAAATGTCATGTTACCATTATTACAGGTTATTATATGGCTTTTTCATTTAGTTTTAGTTTTGTATGTCTGTTTAATTATTGTCTAGCTTTTTTAATGATGAATTATTTTACCAAGTGTGTTTGTTAGTTTTGGTTTTTATTTTAGTCTTTTATTTTCATTTCTATATCATTTAACATGCATTAAAGACATGACACAGGACTTTGTGTAATGTTATTTAACTTTCCCTGTTCAGTTCAGATTACACAGGTCTACATGGTGTACAGCTAGTTTGACATTTAACATGGTAAAAACAACAACCAAGAAGGACCAATGATATTTCACTGGCAGTTTGTGCCTCTTTATGCCACCCATCTGAGAATGCCACTGCCTGTGGTTTTAAAACTGAAAATATATATTTATAATTTTTAAACTTTGTTTTAAAGCAGTGCATGATAGTTAGGTTTAGTGTTACTTTTAGTAAAAAAATTATTTTAATTCATTTTAATTTGTCAAGGAATAGAATTTCTTGCTCCGTGTCAAATTACTTCAGTAAGTGTGATAAAGTTGAACGTTGCTTTCACTTTCAACTTACTGGAAGTGTGTTGAGACAAGCGCTGGCTTGATCTCAGGCGACAGTTATTATCTATTTCCAGTAAAACAATGAATCCGCATTAACAGAAGCTCATTCAGACCCTGATCAGAGTGAAATGAGCTCTCGGCACTTCCTCTCACATTGGAGACTTTATTCTTCTGAAGGAGATCTCATGCAGAAGGAGCATTTGCTCATCTAACGGAGATCAATCAAAACTTCTGGGCCCATATTCACAAAACATCTTAAGGCTAAAAGTAGCTCGTAACTCTCCAATTTAGGAGAAAATCTTAAAAATAATTAGGACTCCTAAATGTTTGATCTAAAAGTATTTCAGAAAGCATTTTAGCACTAAAACTAGCTCCTAAATCTGTGAAAGGTTAGGAGCAGTGAAGAGGACTCCTAAGTCACTAAGACCAAGCCACAAACTATCCTAAAATGGCTGTTGCAGTCTGCCTGGGAATGTAAACATTTTAGAAATATTTGATTATAATGAGCTTTTATAAAGGCATCACCTTTGGTTTTGAAGGTTATCCCAACTCCAAATTTTCCTTTGATTATGTCTTTCTTTTCATTAACCAGTTGGGCAAGAAGTAACAGCTGTGCTCGTGTCCAGTTTGGTTTTCTTATATGTTTGCATGTCTTACTATCAGTCATGATTATTCTACTCTGTTTATTAAAAGGCTGTTTAAATGCATATTCACTAATTATGAGAAGCATACATGTAAGAGGCTGACAATTAGCTGAACACATACTTGTTTAATTAGTGACACTTAGCCTGCATTTTAAAATCTTTATTTGAACGTTTCTTTACTAAAATATTTCTATGAATAAATCTCTGACAGAGACTATATCAGCCAATCACTGTGGGCATAGTTAGTAAGCATGCTGACATCATCCATAGCAACAAGGTCAACCCCGCTCCCTTACTCTGAGCTTAAGACTTCTCTCTATTCCTTAGTAAAAGTTTGTCTCAGCAGCTTTGTGAATAGGTTTTAAGAGAAAACTCTTTGCTAAACTTTTACTGCTATTTAGGAGAACTCTTAGTGGAAAGATGAAATGTTTTGTGAATACGGACCCTGAACGTTTAGTGGCAGGTTTTGTCTTTCCCACTTTACTTTCCCTCTTCGAATGGTGCCAGAACCAGCAGCCAATCAGAGCAGAGAGTCACTCAGGCTCCGCCCCGTCTCTCTCTCGCTCCAGCAGCTCTTCAGTCAGACTCTTTTCCTCGAGCAGCAGAGCAGACGTGGATCCACCGGAGAAACCCCTGAACCCTTCAGATGATCATGAGAGTCCTGAGCGCTTTGCTCCTCATCAGTGCTGTTGCAGCGCCTGTGAGAGGAGATGCAAACTTCACAGGTAAGAACATGTTCCCTGAACCACCGACCGGCTGAAAGCATATGCTGGAGCTCTTATTTTAGACTTACATGGCAAACTTCACAGTACAGATGCATCTCAATAAATTAAAATGTCGTGGAAAAGTTCATTTATTTCATTAATTCAACTCAAATTGTGAAACTCGTGTATTAAATAAATTCAATGCACACAGACTGAAGTAGTTTTAAGTCTTTGGTTCTTTTAATTGTGATGATTTTGGCTCACATTTAACAAAAACCCACCAATTCACTCTCAACAAATTAGAATATGGTGACATGCCAATCAGCTAATCCAACTCAAAACACCTGCAAAGGTTTCCTGAGCCTTCAAAACATGTTCTCAGAGAAGCTCTTTGGAAGTTTGCCACAGAAAGTCCTGAAAGCCACAGGACAGCGTGATGGGATGGGGTTTCATGCTCTGAAATTACACATCTGGGTTTAATTTTAGCAGAGACTCCAGTAAAGACTGTGCTGAAGTCCAGCTTCCATCTGTATTACGAGGGGAGCGTGTTTGAGGAGACCTGCGCCGTGGTCCCATTCAGGTCCGAAACCCTCCACAGATGTGCCTACAACCGAAGTGACCCGCTGGTGCTGATTATACATGGCTGGACGGTGAGAGAAACCCTGATCAACACAACACAGAAGATCAGAGCTCAGTCAGACCACACCTAGCCTCCTACAGAAACCACTTTCTATCAGATCTGATGATGTAGAACAATAGAGAGCTTTACACAACACAGCCATGTAAGGCTTCTCAGGAGATTTGGAGTTGAAAAATCCCTCTATCAGGCAGCGGTCTTATCTGTGTTCACTGGCTGTTAGACGCTGCGTATCGCTGCTTTACGACTCAGTTCATGTGTCAACAAACATGTAGAGCAGATAGGAATTTCCTTGAGACGGAGGAAACGAGCAAAGAGTTTGTGTGTGAATGACATCAGCTCTCCCTGCTGCTCTCAGATGAATGGACTCATGGAGCCCTGGATCTTCAGTCTGGCTTCTGCGCTGAAGGTCCGGCTGGGGCGGGTCAACGTGCTCATCAGCGACTGGAGGAAGCTGGCACTTCAGCCGTATCCAATCGCAGCCAAGAACAGCAGACAGGTGGGGAGGGACGTGGCCAGGCTGCTCAAATGGCTGGAGGTAATGAAGATCTTCAGCGGAAACATTTGCTGAACCAAACCCACTGCGTCTAAAAACCGATACATTATTTAAGGGTTCTCCGAAGCGGAAATTCTCAGAGATTGGGTAAACTTGCATACTGGTGAACGCAAACTACAACAAATATAGTTTTTGTGTTCCCATTTGCTCCAATAGCAAAAGTAGAGAAATCCAAAATGGCAATTCTATGATTTGGAAAAAATATGGAGAGATTGATTAACCCGGCTAACATTAATAAGCTCTGAGAATGGTTTGTTAATGTTTCCATTAAGTTATGAAAACATTATTTCTGAACTTCCAAAATGTCGATATTTAAATGTTTGAAAAACTTTTTTTTGTTTGGATATACGAGCGGTAAGGAAACATTCTGTTTGATCATTTTGCAAACATTACAGGAATGTTACTTTTGAATGTTCTCTGAAACAAACAGTAACATTTTAAAAAATGATAGATAAACATCCAACCGAAACATTTCAGAAAAAAAAGATGAAAGATGTATAATAATGTTTTTGCGCTAATATTTTGAGAACATTTTTAAAGACCAGATAACTTTGAACAAACGTTCTATTAATGTTACTGGAAGAATGTTAGTTCATAAGCTTGAGAGAACCTTTGCCAGAACGTTATGAGAACGTTGGGAAGCTGGTCAGAAGAGAGAAAGATGTGACATTTATCGTCACTCCCTCATCTGTTAGAAACACTCACGCAGCAGTTTACTAGTTTCATGTGATTTAATGTCAAAGATAATAATCATAATATAACAGTGCAGTGTTTAAAATGTGTACATTAATTCAAATATGAAAAACTTCACTAGATTTAGCATGTCGACAACTGTGGAAATCATCTTCACAGCTTGTTAAAAGGGTCTGTACTGTATGTGCATCAGTGTCTAAGTGTGAACTGTTTGAGTCCAGACAGCACTTTCTCTCTTGACAGGAAGTGGCGCAGCTCTCCATGGATGATATCCATCTGATTGGCTACAGTCTGGGAGCGCATGTGGCCGGATTCGCAGGAAGTCATTTCAGAGGACTGAGGAAAGTGGGCCGCATTACTGGTAAGATGCAGCCAAACACATGATCAAACAGCATTTATCAGAGCTTGAGTTTCCCATTCATCTTGACGACTGTCACTCCGTCTCAGAGCACTGATCATTTTATAACGGCTGACATCACTGGAATGAAGAAGTGAAGATCCTGACATGATTCAGTCTGAAACTTTCTTCAGAGGAACTGTGGTCTCTAGAAAGATGCCCGCATTCTCCACCAGCGTCTGATGAGCAGAGTCTTGATGAAAACACACATGCTGTTCCAGCCAGTGAAAGACCAATGACAGTGTGCTGTGTGTGTGACGCAGGTCTGGATCCGGCCGGGCCGCACTTCGAAGGTCAGCCGGCATTTGACAGACTGTCTCCGGACGACGCTCAGTTTGTGGACGCCATCCACACCTTCACCGGCTCCAGCATCATGCCGGGAGTGGGAATAAAGCAGAGCGTCGCTCACGTGGACTTCTACCCCAACGGAGGCTCCTTTCAGCCCGGCTGCAAGATGCTCGACATTTACAGCAACGTCTTCCAGTACGGCCTGCAAGGTACGACTGAACCCGACGCACAGATCCGTGGGCAAAAATATAGAATCATTTGACATGATTAATTTGCATTTATTGAGATGATGAATTGAACAGACCATTCAAACTGGACGTGTTCTTGTGTTTTTGATTAATTACACGAAACATGTAGATGTCTCAGGATGTGTTTTTAAAAGATGAATCAGAATCAAAAACAGCTGAATCAGGAATTTGTCTAGGTAACAGAAGCTTATAGTGCAGAGCAGGCTTATTACATTATATATTAACTGATTCTGAAACTAAATATAAACTATATATAATAAAATATAAATTATTATATATTAACTAAAACTTAAACTATATATATATATATAAAAAACATTTTCATTACTTGAAATGAAGTAAATATTAATTGAAATAAAATAAAATTAACTTAAATTTATTTTAAGCTAGTTTCTAAGGCAACATCATTTTCATCTAGTTTAACTTGATGTACTAAAATAACTAAAACTAAAATTAAAATTAAAATGCAAAAAAAAACTACATAGACATTCTTAGTTTTTGTTGTTTTTAATCTAATACAAATGACAAAAAACAACAAAATTACTAAACTGTAACTGAAATTAACATGAAAGTGTATCATATATAAAGTAATACATAAAACATGTATAAAAATATCACTGCAAAAAAAGTTTTCGGTTACACTTTACTTGAAGGGGTGTGCATAAGACTGACATGACACCTTCATAATCATGACATGACACCTACATAATCAAGACATGACACATGTCATGGATATGAAGGTTTTTTATGCATGTTTATGACAACTGTCATTAAGTGTCATTCGCTCAGTTATGTAATTTTTAATGCAAAGATGACATTGTTTGAGATGTCTTTGTTATGGGCTATGGTTAGTAGTAAGGGTAGGGGTAGGGTTAGGTCAAATAATGTCATATTTGCATTAAAAATTACATAACTGAGCGAATGACACTTAATGACAGTTGTCATAAACATGCATAAAACCTCCTTCATATTCATGACATGTGTCATGTCATGATTATGAAGGTGTCATGTCAGTCTTATGCACACCCCTTCAAATAAAGTGTTACCAAGTTTTCTTCCTCAGTATTTTTGTTTTTTCCCAGTACAAATATCTAAATATTCTTGAATCAAGATACATTTGCTTGATGAGCAAAATGATGTACAATATTAAGCAGTGCTTTAAAGAAAAATTAGTTTTTGCTTAAAACAAGGGAAAATATGTGCCAATGGGCTAATAAAAATAACTTTAATTCAAAGGGAAAAAATATTATTTTTCTTGCTCCACTAGCAAATATTTTTTTCTCAATTTAAGTAAAAACATAAGTAAATATTAAAATATTTTTCAGAAAACAAAACTCAATGTGTTAACTCATTTTGCTATCCAAGCAAATATATCTTGATTCAAGAATATTTAGATATTTGTACTGGAAAACAAGTTTAATAAATATGTCTCAATTTGCATTTCACAGTGGTTCTGTTGCACATGAGATGATGCGTTATGAGAGACTGATGAGGCTGTCGGTGCTTTAATTTTTTTAAATGGCACGCACTCTCACAAAAACATGGCACTTATGTGAAACCGCAAACTCAACCCAAATGCATCTGTCTAGTGCATATTTACATAAACCCAGGAATTAAAAATAGGACAGACAGAGTACAAGAGCCATCATACTAAATACAGCAGTGCTTCACCTGCTATTTCACAGCGCAGTGAACACAGTCATTTACACACAGATGCTCGTTATAGGTGTTCCCAAGACCATTAAATGCGCCCATGAGCGCGCCGTCAAACTCTTCACAGACTCCCTCATCAATGCCAGCCAGCCCATAATAGGCTTCCGTTGCCGTGATGACAGCACCTTCAACAAAGGCCTGTGTCTGGACTGCAAACAGATGCGCTGCAACATGCTGGGCTTCGACGTGCGGCGCGAACGCGCGGGGAGGAGCGCTAAAGGCCTGTACCTCAGGACCGGCCCGCAGGCGCCCTATAGAGGTCAGTGTGTGTGAACAAGTCTCTTCTCTTCTCTTTATATAGCACCTCCTCACTCTCTCCTCAGTCTTTCACTACCAGATCAAAGTCCTGCTGAAGAACCTGATCGAGCCTGTCGAGGCCTCGCTGTCCGTCTCACTCAACGGGACCGGAGGAGAGAGCCCACAACTACCCATAATCCTGTGAGTCCCAGCAAACACAGCCGCAGGTTACTGCTCATTCACCTAGAAAACCCTTACAGCTAAAAATAAATCATCTATCAAGTCAAGTCACCTTTATTTATATAGCGCTTTTAACAATACAGATTGTGTCAAAGCAACTGAACAGCATTAATTAGGAAAATAATAATGCAAAATGACAATAGTAAACACTAATTTTTCAGTTAAAGACAGTTCATCATTGAATTAAGTTATGTCATCATCCAGCTCAGTTCAGTTTAAATAGCATCTTTGCAATCATTTGCAATCAAGTCAACGATATCGCTGGAAATGAAGTGTCCCCAACTAAGCAAGCCAGAGGCAACAGCGGGAAGGAACCAAAACTCCATCGGTGACAGAATGGAGAAAAAACCTTGGGAGAAACCAGGCTCAGTCGGGGGGCCAGTTCTCCTCTGGCCAGACGAAACCAGCAGTTCAATTTCAGGCTGCAAAGTCACATTGTGCAGAGGACTCATCTGGTTCCTGTGGTCTTGTCCCGATGGTCGTCTGAGACAAGGTCTTTACTGGGGATCTGTCTTTGGGGCTCATCTAGTTGTCCTGGTCTCCGCTGTCTTTCAGGGCTGT